GGCAGGCCAAGCCCACGGTGCCACAGATGAGAACTGCTGGGGTGTCTGGCCTCCACCAAAATGACTTAGCCAGCACAAAGGGCAAGCGGCACTTCTAAATAAAACTGCCAGACTCCCGAGGCAAACAGAACAAGCCAGGACATTAAGTATAGTCAGGGGAACCAACAGAAGAGCAGGAGGCAAGCCCTGCAAAGGTGCAATGATGAAAAGAAACGCTGACTACCGCTTTTTACTCTCTCACACACCTTTCCCTTAGCGGGGGCGGGACGGGGAGAATCTGAAGATTTAGCGAAAGCTAAACACAAACTAAGAAGAATAAGAATAGGGCGCCTGGGTGGCTCAGCTGGTTAAGCGACTGCCTTCCGCTCGGGTCATGATCCTGGAGTCCCGGAATCAAGTCCCGCATCGGGCTCCCTGCTCAGCGAGGAGTCTGCTTCTCCCTCTGACCCTCCCCTCCTCATGCTCTCTCTCTCTCTCATTCTCTCTCTCTCAAATAAATAAATAAAATCTTAAAAAAAAAAAAAAAGAAGAAGAAGAATAAATGGTCCACCCACGTTCATAGCAGCACTGTCCACAGTAGCTAAAGCATGGAAGCCACCCAAATATCCACTGACAGATGCCTACGATGTGGTGCCCCTATGCAATGGGATACCATTTGACCTTCAAGAGGAAGGACATTCTGACACAGGCTGCCACATAGGGAGACCTGGGGGACAGCATGCTGAGGGATAGGAGATGGACACAAAAGACAAATACTATAAGACTCCAATTGTGTGAGGTCCCTAGAATGGTCAGATTCATAAATAGGAAACAGAATGGTGGATGCCAGGGGCTAGGAGAGAGGGGAAGGTGAGTTAGTGTTTAACAGGGAGAATTTCAGATTTGCCAGATGAAAAAAATTCTGGAAATGGATGGTGGTGATGGCTATACAGCATTACGAATGTATTTAATACCACTGAACTGTACACTTAAAAATGGTCAAAGTGATAAATTTTATGTGTATGTTACACAATAAAAAAAACTGGAGGGGCGACTCGCTGGCTCACTCAGTGGAGCTTGCAGCTCTTGACCTCAGGGTCGTGAGTTCGAGCCCCACATTGGGTGTGGAGCCTACTTAAAATTAAAAAAATAAAATGGAAAGAAATCAAAATTTAAGGGGCACCTGGGTGGCTCAGTCCATTAAGAGTCTGCCCTCGGCTCAGGTCATGATCCCAGAGTCCTGGGATCGAGTCCCACATCGGGCTCCCTACTCAGTGGGGAGTCTCTCACTCTCCCTCTGCACCCCCCGCACTTGTGCTCTCTAATAAATAAATAAAATCTTAAAATAAATAAATTAAATAAATAAATAAACATTTAAAAATAAACAGCCATATTTGTGCTTTGGACCTCCCCGCAAGCTGCTGTTCATCCCACTGGCCAGTCTGTGGTCCTGGCTGTGGGAGGGAAGTACCCCTTGAGGCACCAGCTCCCGGCCCAAATAACCGAAACCGTTATCACCCCTTCCTATGACACATGCGGAGGGGCTCAGCTCCCTGAAGAAGCCTGCCTGAGGCACGTGCGGGTTGGGCCGATGGTGAGAAGCACAGGCCTGGGCTGGAACCTGCTGTGTGGCCAGGTAAGTCGAGATCCACATGCCTCAACTCAGGTGCATTCAGCAGGGCAAGATTCACTGGGCAGCTGGCTGAGGTGCCCCTGAATGCCCAAGAGGTGCTCCCCGGCAGTGGGGAGGCTTCAGTGCTCACCTGCAGGCATACTCCACTGTGTAAATGGCTCCCTGGCTCTGCTCCTCCCACCGCTGCATGTCGGCCTATGGCGGATAGGAAGCTGTCATCAAGGGGGCTGCCACCTCCACCCTCCCAGTTCTCTGGGATGGAGCACCTCATCACCCATCACTGTGGCCAGAGACCAGCCACCTCCATTCTGATCTTCCCTCCTACAGATCCCCTTCCCCACCAGTCTGGGCTTTCTCTGAACACCTGGCTACCGTGCTTCAGAGCCTCTGCACCGGCTGTTCCCTCTGCCTGGCACATCTTTCCCTCGGGTCCATATGTAGCTGCCTCCTTCTCACTACACAGGTCACAACAAATGCACATCCTGCGTCCCCTTCTCCCAAGTCTGTCCACCCATGGCCCCAACCTGTCTCAGTGACCTCGTGCCTCCTTGCCGGGGTCCCAGCCTTGACTGCTCCCCCAACAGCCCCAGCTCCACATAGCAGGTCCTGGCTCATGACGTGAGGACTCTGGGGGAGGGCAGGGGAAGGGGCAAGTGGAGCTCACCTTATGCTGGGCCAGCTCGGGCAGAGAGCGGCGCACATGCTCCTGCAGCCGGTATAGGGCCACGGACGGCTCGTTGGCCAGGACATAGACACTCTCAGTGAACTTGTCTGTGACTGGATTGAAAATCAACAGTTGGGCGTAGGGGTGGTGGGGGGCGGGGATGGCAGAACAAGGGGAAGGGCAGCAGAGACACGGAGACAAAGCATAAGACTCTTGACTGCTTAATCCATGAGTCCAGCTAGGCAGTGAGGACTGTCCGGTGTCCCACCCAGGAGCTAGGTCACCTGTGGCCCCGGTGATAGGTGGAAGGAGATGGTCACAGAAAAGGCCTCATTTATCATGATGTTAACACATCCAGTGGACTCATGATTTTCCCCTCCCAAGCCCACCTGTAGTAGACACTGCTTCTGTCCACTTGGACCCTTTTCACATTCCTTTTATCCCAAGGAATGAATCTGAGATTCTTCTTCAGAGAGTCCCACCAGTTACTGGACCTGAAAATGCCTGGAAGCTTAGATCCCTGGATGGCCTTCAGCCATCAAAGGGTATTAAATCATGTCCCATGCCTTTTGTTGGGACAATGTGGAGGTATAACTCATCCTTCTGAGTTCTCCTGAAGGATCAGGCTAAGAATTTTACCTGACAGCACTCCTTGCTCAGCTTCGTCCCTATCCTGTTTCTCTCTTCCCTCATCCATTCTTCCCACTACACTGCCCTCACTGGTCTGGGTATGGCCACCTCCCACCTGAATACCAGGTTCAGTCAGCTCCTCCCTGGTCTCCCTGCTTCCCCTCTGCCAACAGTCCAATCTCCACACAACAGATAAAGTGAGCTCCTAATGAACCTGTCAGATATGTCCCTCCCTTGTCTGAAATCCTCCCATGGCTCCCATCGACCACAGCATAAAATCACCTAACTTACTATGGTCCATAAGGCTCTATATTCTGCCTGCTGTTGACCTCCCTGCCCTCCTCACCCTCCACCCAAGACACAATGACCTCCTGGCTGTTCCTTGAACACCCCAGTACTGTCCAAAAGAACTTTCTGAGATGATAGAAAGGTTCTATAGTGTCCAATAACATAGGCACTAGGCACATATGGCCACTGAGCACTTGAAATGTGGCTAATATGACTCACAAACTGAATTTTATTTTATTATTTTTTTAAAATCTTCATTCCAGTATAGTCCACATACAGTGTCATATTAGTTGCAGGTGTACTAATGTAGTGATTCAACAATTCTATACATTACTCGGTGCTCATCCTATAAATTTTAAATTTTACCTAATTTTAATTAAATTAAATACCCACAAATATCGTGACCAGGAGCTGCGGTATTGCTGCACAGCTCTGAACACTTTGCCACCTCAGTGCCTTTGCACCTGCTGTTCTGACACTGACTCGCCCTTCTCTCACTGGCTTCTTTTCATCCCTCCTGTCTCAGCTCAAATGTCACCTCCTGGGCAAGGCCTTCCCTGATCACCAAGCTTAATCAGATGTCCCTTCCACCTCATTCTCAACCTTCAGCACCTTGTTCATTTCTCTTACACTTTATTAGGTTACCTGTTTACAAGAAAAAAAAAAAATCAAAGCTTGGATTCTTGAGGGCAGGAGAGTCTCTGAGCCTCAGTTTCCTCATCTGTAAAAACAGAGTGATAATAGCACCCACTCATGGTTTGTTACAGAGATGGACCCCATGCTATTGCCCAGTACAGAGCGGTGGACAAGAGAGAGAACGCTGGTGTGTCCGGGATTCAAAGGAGGCTGTGCATGAGTCTGGCCAGTGTCAGTCTGTCTAGCTCACTACCGCGCCCTCAGTGGGGCAGAGCCCATCCTGCAACCTCTAAACTGTACGTACTCTAATCCTCCTAGTCCTCATTTTGAAAATGTACATAACAGCTTACCCTTCTGTGTTGTTGCAAAGAAGGTGGAATGAAATGTACTTGTGCCTTCTAAATAATCAACTAGAAATAATGTGTGATAAAATAAAAACCTTTATGACTTAAAAATAGTTTGTGGCAGGGGCGTCTGGGTGGCTCAGTCATTAAGCATCTGCCTTCGGCTCAGGTCATGATCCCAGGGTCCTGGGATCGAGCCCCGCATCGGGCTCCCTGCTCCGTGGGAGGCCTGCTTCTCCCTCTCCCACTCCCCCTGCTTACGTTCCCTCTCTCGCTGTGTCTCTCTCTGTCAAATAAATAAGTAAAATCTTTTTAAAAAATAGTTTGTGGCACTTTGTAATTTGTAAACACGTTGACTCACAAATATTTTAACGTAAACCCAGTCAAATGCGTAAACATATTAGGGAATAATACGCACAGCGACTGCCAAGTCCCAGGCGTTCTTCTAATGCATTACAAACATCAGGTCATTGAATTCTCACAACAAACCTAGGGGGGACCGGGAGAGACTACCATACACCCCATTTTACAGATGACAAAACCGAGGCACGGAGACTTTCTAAAGGTTTTAAAACTAGTCAACGGCCGAGCCAGGATTCAATGGTAGTTCAATTAGTTCCCCCGCATGCTCCCTCCAAGCCTTTGTCCCCTCCTGCCCTGTCGGGTCACCCTTCCGCCCAGCCCGAGGCTCTGCACCACCTTTCTTTCCTTTGAGCTGCATCTCCGGTTCCTCCATAGCTACCGCGGACCGATCCGAAGACCGGAAGCAGAAGTTCGGCTCTGGGGAAGGCTACCTAAACCTCCCCCTGTGAAACCAGACGCTGCGCCACTCTAGTTCCGGTGTCAATTGGCCTTCTTTCCCCAGTCCTTTCTGAGTACCCAGACTGGAGAGAAGCCGTGAGTGAGAGACTGGGGAAGGAGGCACACCGGTAGGCGGGTGAGGAAGGGGCGGAGAACCCCTGAAGCTCCAGAAGGGACACCTAGGCAGGGAGGGGAAAGGGCGCCCTCCTTTCCCGAACTCCCTTTTCCGGGGGCAGACGAATTGGGGAAATGGTTCCAAACATTGCCCACTTCGGGCTGCTTTAAACGGCCTTTCTGTATCCTCCTGCTGCCATCAGATTCTTACACATGCTCATAAGCCTCCAGGACCGCAAAGGGGGCATTGTTGTGGACGGGTGCAACGGCAGTGTCGCCCCTTTAAATCCCTGACGCCCCGACTGCTCCCCGCCCACCGTCTTCCGACTGGAGAAAGCCCCACCCATCCGGCCTCAACGGGAGCCTAGCGGCACCCTTTGGAAAAACCTGTGGGCGGAGCTGGGGGGGAGTGACGGAAGACAAGCGCAATGAAATCCTCAGAGCCCTCTGAGGCTCCACCCATCCCTCCTGACCCGGCCGGGCTCCCTCCGGAGATGCCGGGGCAAGAACGCGCAAGCGCCACAGCACTGCTTGGGCCCCAGCGGAAAGCACGCCCCTCCCTCAAGTCTTAAAGGGCCAGAAGCAGCTTCTACAGCTCTCGCCTTTAGGCACTTTTGGGGAGGCAGGGTGCGCAGGCGCAGTGGGAGAGCTCTGGGGTGGGGGTAGCGGTCGCGTATCAAGTTGCTCTCTGTCCCGGCAGAAGAAACCAGGACGGTGAGGGTCCAGGTTCTAGCTTGCTCCCTCCTGTATCAGTTGGAGGAGAAAAGTTTGTGAATTGGGCCCCCAAGTTTTGGGGGACCCGGGCTTGCGGCGTGGGGTGACAGAGGAAGCTCTTTAGAGGTGAGTGGACCTCCTGATCTGTTTGGGAGGGGCCGATGGGGATGGGACCAATCACATCTTTGTTGAGCACTCACTCATTCTGGGGACCCCCCCAAAAAAATAACTACAGAGAACGTTTATTAAGCTCTGCCCGTGTATAAGGCCCCCAGCTTAGCTGTTTACAAGCATGATTTTAGACCTCACTTCTCTGTTTTATTAATGAGCAAACTGAGGCTCAGAGAAGTTAAGTCATGTGCCCAAGTTTTCTGCCTATAAGTGGAGGGATTTGAACCCAGGTAGTTGACCCCATTTTATGTAAAGCATGTTGTATGTGTCCTGGTGAGGGGGGCGGAGGAGTGGGCCTGAAAAGCAGCTGGACTCTGGTTTTTACTTCCCAGCTGAGCTAGAGTTTAGCCACCCTCACTGTGCAAAATTGGGTATGCTGTTGGTGCCTACTTAATAGGAGTTGTTGAGAATTATTCTCTCTCCCCTTTTGGTGCTTCCACCAGCTTCCCCCATGGAGCCCACCCAGCCTGCAGAGGACCTCAGTGTGACCCAGCAGCTCCCCATCCCAGAATTTGGGGACCCTGAAGACCCTGGGGATGAGGCCCCCGATGGCTCAGATACTGTGGTGCTCAGTCTTTTCCCCTGCACCCTGGAGCCTGGGAATCCTGAACCGGATGCTGGTGCCTCCTCACCTCAGGGTAGGTAGGATATTTCCCCTGGACGACTCCCCGTCTGGGATGCAAGAACAGTGGAATGTCAGGCCCAAGATAGGATCTCTGTCTTTATGTCCCACTACCTGGAATGTGTCTTCTCTCTCTCACCCAATGACAGATTGCTTTTATACATACACACACACATACACACGTATGAATAGAAGATGGCTAAATCCACATGACATAAAAGTTACTATTTTAAGCAGACTTGCACACAGTTCAATGGCAGTAAGTACATTCACGATGCGTGTAACCCACACCTCTATCTATTATTCCAGACCATTTCCATCACCCCAAAAGGAAACCCCATCCCCATTAGTAGTCACTCTCCATCCCTCCTCCCCTGCCTCCGTCAACAGTAATCTACTTTCTGTCTCTATGGATTTGCCTGTCCTAGACGTTTCATATAAATGAATCATACAACATGTCTTTTGCGTCTGGCTTCTTTTGCTCAGCACGATGGTTTTTTGTTTTGTTTTAAGTTTTATTTATTTAATCTCTACATCCCACCTGGGGCTTGAACCCACAAGCCCGAGATCAAGAGTCACATGCTCCTCTGACCGAGCCAGCCAGGCACCCCTCAGCATGGTGTTTTTGAGGTTCATTCGCATTACAGCATGTGTCAGTGCTTCTTTACTTTTTATGACCTGATAATAGTCCATCCCAGACGACATTTTGCTTATCCATTCATCCACTGATGGACACTAGGGTTGTTCCTCTTTTGGCAGTCGTGACTAGTATTGCTGTACACATGGGTACAGATACAAGTTGTTGTCTGAGCAGTTGATTTCAGCTCTTTGGGGTAGATACCTAGGAGTGGAATTGCTGGGTCAGATGGTGATTCTGTTGACCCTATTAAGGACCCAAGGATTTCTTTTGACTAGAATCCTTGAACATGTCGAATTCAGTACCTCCTGGGGCCTTGGTCCCTGCTGTTCCCTCTATGTGGAAAGTTCTCAGACCTCTTCCCAGGGCTGGTTTTCTTCAACTGACCAAGCTCTCAGTTGGTGTCCTCTCCTCAGAGTGGCCCTCCCTGACCACCTTGTCTAAAATGGACTCACCCCCTGCCCTCCCCTCTTTCCACTCTCTTCTACTACCTGCTTTTTATAGCTCCTGAACACTTATTTCTCTATTTCTGTCTGACCGCCCCCCCCTTTGAGGGCAGGGACTATGTCTCGTTTGCCCAGAATGTCACCAGGTGTAGAGAAGAAAGGCTCACCAGGAGGGCAGAGTGAGTGAATGGGGGAGGGAGGCACTGTCTTTGGTAGCTTCAGGCCCCCAAGACTTGGCTGAAGCCCCAGAAACATACTGAGAGGAAACTGAGGCCGTTCCTTTCTCTTCCAGGAGGCAGCTCCCTGAAGCACTCGACAACCCTCACCAACCGGCAGCGGGGGAACGAGGTTTCGGCCCTGCCAGCCACCCTGGACTGTAAGTGAGCCTCTGGTTACCCACCCCCACCCTCCCCCGGCCTCCCTAAGTAGCAGGGCAGGGGCAGTAGGAGTGGCAGGGGCTGAGAGGAACAACTTTGGATGGGGTAAATTGAGGCACGGAGCGGGGACGGGACAGGTGAGGACTCTGGCTCTCTCTGGCCCCTAGCCCTGTCCATCCACCAGCTTGCGGCCCAAGGGGAGCTGAGCCAGCTGAAGGAACATCTGAGGAAAGGTGTGTGTCCACACGAGTACGCTGGTGTATCCATCCCTGTCTGACCACACGTGTTGGGGTATGCATGTGGGTCCTGAAATGACCTGAGGCTCCACTTATGCTCACCTATCTACACGTTTGAGCATGTCCACACATGTAACCCCCCCCGCCCACGTCTGACCCCAGCCGCCCGCCCTGTCCCTGCTCCCACAGCACTGGGGAGAGGGGGCAGGGGTGCATCCCAGTGGTACCACCCCCCTCCTGCCAGGTGACAACCTCATCAACAAGCCGGACGAGCATGGCTTCACCCCCCTCATCTGGGCCTCTGCCTTCGGAGAAATCGAGACTGTCCGCTTCTTGCTTGAGTGGGTGCGTCCCAGCCCAGCTCAGGGCTTCCCAGGGACTTGAGGGCGGGCTGGGGTCTGAGTCAGCTGGTGCCATGTCTGTAAGATGGGGCTGCGATGGGTACCCCAGGATTCCAAGGGATGCCCTCACCCGTCCCATCGCCACTCCCTCTGCTCCCCGCTCCCCCCACCCCACTGCAGGGTGCTGACCCCCACATCCTGGCGAAGGAGCGGGAAAGTGCCCTGTCACTGGCCAGCATGGGCGGCTACACAGACATTGTGGGGCTGCTGCTCGAGCGTGACGTGGACATCAACATCTACGACTGGGTGAGGCACCAGCCACTGCCCTGCGCACCTGGCAGGGTACCAGGCCTGTTATAGGTGCTGAGAACACAAGACAGACCCATCCCTCGCAGAGCTCCTAGTTTAGGGGGGAGGAAGAGGAAGACGATACATAAGCAGTCAGCTGAAATGTGAATACCGCTGTGATAGCAGACACACAGGCAACTGCAAGGGCCTGGAGGTGGCTTACATAGCCAAGGGAAGTCAAGGAGGGCTTCCTGAAAGAAGGGGTATCTAAGCTGAGACCCAAAGGAGGAATTAGACCAGGTGATGAGTAGGAGGAGGAACCACATTAAATTAGAGGGTTGGGGGTGTTCTGAGAATCTGGAAAAGACAGAATGTTGGTTGCCTTTGCCCCTGCCCTTAACAGAATGGAGGGACACCACTGCTGTATGCTGTGCGTGGGAACCATGTGAAGTGCGTAGAAGCCTTGTTGGGTAAGTGGGAGTAGCAGCTGGAATCCTGAGGGCCAGGGAGGGGTCCAAGCTCTGCTTGAACAGCTCTTGGGATGCGTGGTCACTATCTGCTTTTCCCAGAGGACTGATCTGGGGACAGGAGATGGTGGGATAGTACAAGGGTCTAGCTAACCGGGTTGAACACCCACACCCTCCATGCCTCAGGGACCCTGCAGATGGGGATTCTATTGGCCACATTCTTTGGAGAGCTCAGGTTCTCATCCAAGCCCACACGGGCAACCAGCAGGCCTGTGGCTGTACTGTGAGGGATCACTGGACCTCCCAAATCGCCATGCCCCATTCTGGGCTCCCAGTCCCCCACCTCCACCCCCCTGTACACCTGCTTTGCTTTGCAGCCGGAGGAGCTGATCTCACCACGGAGGCTGACTCTGGCTATACCCCAATGGATCTTGCCGTGGCCCTGGGATATCGGAAAGGTCAGCCTGAGACATGGGGCAGTGACAGTGTGCTGTAGGTAGGGTGACCGCAGGTACACAGGACATGCCTCTCGGATGTGTCAGATGCTAGCAGTGAGAGCGTTCATGTTAGCAAACATGTAGTGCCACAGTGTACCTGGCCTGGGCACATGCAGGAGGCCGATGTGGGTCAGCGACTGGATTCACGATGGGATACACACAGGCGCTGGGAGGCCCAAAGGAAGCTCTGGCCCAGCCCCATGATAGGTGGGAATCAGGGAGGGCTTCCTGGAGGCCCAAGGGGAGGGAGGGAGGATGGTGTCCAGGCTGGAGGAACAGTATACACACAGGCCTGGCAGGATGAGGATGCCAAGGAGGGGCCGAGCCACAGTGCACAGGCTCATTGAGGCTAGCCCTCTCTGTGGCAGGAGGTGGGTGTGAGTGGGGACCATAGGCAGACCCCAGTTTGATTCTCCACTTCCCCCTTCAGCTTCCCCATCTACGAAATGGAGAGATCCTAATAGAACCAAACCCTTGGGGTCATGGAGGGATTCCTTTGAGTTTTATCCCACTTGGGACAGAAATCATTCCTCACGGCCCCTCTCATCCTTTAATAAAAGTCACAAGTCACCAGTTTTGTTTGATAAAGATTGTTTTTATGACTCTAAAAAGCCTCCAAAAGTGCTTTTTTACAAACCATGGGGAAGTTGAGTTTCCTGGCTTGGGTGCCTCAGTCTTCCCAGCTGTACTCTGGGGAGAGTCTGGATTTCCCCATGTATGAAGTACGTCCTCCATCCATGTCCCAGGGCCTGGAGATCCTTTTTTGTGCCCCGAGAGGCAGGGTGCAGTTCTCATGGTGGGATACCCCAGCTCATCCCCAGGAAAGTGTACAATTTGGCCGGTGCCCCTGCAGCCTCCATTGGATTCATGGCCCACCTTTCCCCTGTCCTGTTTCCAGTGCAACAGGTGATCGAGAACCACATCCTCAAACTCTTCCAGAGCAACCTGGTGCCCGCAGATCCTGAGTGAAGACTGCCTACTGGGGACTCAGATACTCAGGGAACAAAACAATTGACCTAGAACTAGCTTCAGAGGCAGCTCCTGGACAGACAGTGGGAGGGGATCCTTCCCAGGAGGAACCAATAAACCTTCTGTGTGCATAACTTGAAGGACTTCACTGTGCTTCCCCAAGGGTCTCCTGGAGGAGTCAGCTACCCAGTGGCCTCACACCCTCTCCCCCAGCACCCGCAGGTGGTAGATGACTACTCGGCCAAAAAAGTCAGTGGCGTCCTCAAGTGTCATCTTCAGCTGGTCCACCTCGGCAGCGGGCACAGGGAAGGTGTGAGCACAGGCAGTCAAGGGAAATAGGTAGCTCATCACTTCCCATCCGCCAGCCCCAGCTCAGACACCACCAGTATGCTGCGTGAGCCAGCACACTGAGCCCCTCTGAAGCTCTCACACAGAACAGGTTACCATCAGCTCATTTTACAGATGAAGCAATGGAGGCCCAGAGCCACTTGCTCAAGGTCACACATCAGGATCCACAGCCTTCAGAGGCACAGACCACCCCCCCACCCCTCCACCCCAGAGGCCCAGGCAGGATATCTGAAGGGAGTTGTTGTCTTCAGGGTAGAAGTCCACAATCTTGCAAAGAGCCTCACTCCCCTGGGAACCTGCAGCAGGGAAAGGGGCAGGCTGTGAGGCTGGGGTTCTCCTCCCAAACCCCCACCTTCCAGAGCCTTCCAGTACCTTCCAGATGGCCCCGGCGACTGGAGAAGCCCCCCTGGAACTGGATCTGCAGCTGGGAGACACGGATGCGCTGGGGAAACTCTAGTATCACCCACTGGGAGGGGCCCTGGAAGCAGACAGGGAAACTGAGGCTCACAATCACTTGCTCAGAGCCCTGCTATACCTGTCTCATTCACACAGACGATGGTGGTGGGAGAGAGGGCTGTTGGCACACGTTCCCTCCGTGGCCAACTTGACTCCCCAGCTGGAGTTCTCCTTAGCTCTCAAGGCACCCTGGACCCCTGAATCTGATTCACGGGAGTGGGTGGAGGATCCAGGGAGAGGTGCCTCACCTGGTCCGAGTTCCAGCACGTCTCCTCATTCTGGTCGAACAGATGCTTCTTTCCAAACTGCCGGGTGTTGCGATTCAGCACTGAACTCACCCTGGAGGCACCAGAATCCGGGAGAAACTAGGGGCTGAACCCAGCGCCGAGGCCCCGCCCACCAGAGGGCCCGCCCCCTCCTCACCTCCAGCTTCCCCCGGCACCCCCAGCTATGTCAACCCGGGGCTCAAGGGCCACGTCCGCCGCTGCCCGGCGGCCAGGTTCTCACCTGCTCACTGTCTCTGGACAAACCAAAGAGTGGGTCATTTCGGCTCCACAAAGCCTCACACGGCTCAGAGCTGACTTCAGCCGGTGTTCGAATCCCGGCGCCAACGCAGCCGCAGCGGCGTGAACTTGACCACGCCTGAGTCTGCAAGGGTTTCAGAGAAACTGCCAGTGACCCGAGGCCAGACTTTAACAGCAGGTCCAAGGAAGGGAAACAGGTTTCCTGTGGGTTTGCTCAGGCTCCGAACCTCAGTCTCTACGAACAGCTCGGAGAACCAAACCGAGACCCGGAACCACGAGGACACCGCGCAGGCGCAATGTCACTCAGACCCGCCCAGCCTGCGCTCTCGGGGCAGGATGTAATTTGAGCCCCGCCCCCCCGTGCCCGCCTCTTAAAGGGCCTTCATCCAGTGATTAAGTTTCCGTTGGAGCTGGAGGTCGAAGGCAGGCACCAAAAACATTGTGTGCGGAGTGTATGTGGGGCGCAGTCTCTGGTGCCTGTGGGTATAGAGCACTGGTTTTGGAGTCTGAGAGACTTCCTAGAATGATGTCTCCCTACCTGGGGAAGTCTGCCAAATCCATTCTGTAACTGCGGATGCTGCCTCGCACTTCACTGCCTCCCAGGGACCAAAGGAAGAGCCGAGGAAGACGCCACGATATTGCCTGTACAGCGAGTCTTCATCAGCCTCCCGTGTCCCAGCTGGAACACGGGAGGCTTAGCCTCCAAATCTTTCTTCCTAGTAAATGCTGCCTGGGACAGGCTTCATGGAGGGGGGCAGGTGAAGTGGGATTTGAAGGATGAACAGGGGTTTGCCAAACCAGATTGCACAAAGGCTAAAGATTTGGTTCACTGATTCACTAAACGACTCGCTCCCTACTGCTCAGCCCAGTGCTGGGTGGTGCTGGAGACTGTGAGGGGCCTCGGTTCCAGCCCCCCACCTGAGGAGCCCCCGGTTTGGGTAAGACACAGCTAGACACACACACTCCCAGACCCATGTGGCCAGGGCTGAGCCAGAAGGAGAATAGGGCTGGGAGACCAGGGGCTCTACCTGGAGGGAGGGCGTCGTGGGAGAGGGGATATTGTGTCTGTACTTTAATGGGTAGGCAGGAATTTATCAGGGTAAGCAAAATGGGGGTAGATTTGTCCAGGCCAGGAGAACAGCATAAGTAAAGGCCTGGTTGGGTGAAAGACCATGATTTTGAATAAAATATATGGAGAAAGATCCTGCTGAGCCTGAAGATGTTTGAGAAAGGGCAGGACACCATCCCATCTGCATGAATGGAGGGTTCTGAGACTGATCAGCCACTGGCAGGAGGCTGCAGTTTCCTGGCTTTAGCTGAATGGTCTAGAATCCAGCCCCTTTCTTCAAGGGCTAGGGGAATGGTTCTCTTGGCATCCTACTAGCATCGTCCCAAGCCCACTCCAGGATGGCGGCGTAGGGGGGCTGGCTGGGAAACTGGGACACTAACGGAAGGGCCGCCCCACCAGCACCTGCCTGCCAGGACTTCCTGCATTCAGTCATGGCCTGGTGCCGTCTAGACCTGGCTCTGTTGGTCTCAGGGGTGGGGCCAGGACTGCGGGTGGCAGAAAAGACCTCTCTATTCCCAGAGGAAAGTGGGAAGAGCATGGACCCTGGAGGGCCCAGATTTGGTTCAAATCCTGGATAGGTCACTCACTCACTGACCATGTGATCTTGGACAAGCATGTTGACCACTCTGAGCCTCAGTTTCCTCATCTGTGAAATGGAGGGAATTCTATTTATAGAACTGCTGGAGAACTCAGGGGACTCTGTGGGCTGACACATAACAACAGTGTCCGGCCTTTGTTAAGAGCCCGTCCTGTGTTTGACTTGAAGCCACATTTTGTCTCCATCCACTGGTTCATCAAACCTGAGGTACTGGTCCATGTCACCTCCATTTTACAGCTGAGGATAGAGCCAATGTCCCCCAGGAAAGATGCATGGCCCTAGGGCTCCCCATGCCACTCTTGGTCTTGGCATGGAGCCACCTTGCCCACTGGGATGAGGCCAGCTCAGTACCCTCTTCCCGCCTCCTCACCCCACTGGCGCCAGGGCATGAAAGAACCTCCTGTTTCTCCAGGGAATTAGCAGCTCTAAGCTCCCAGCAGGGCAGCCAAAAGTGGTCCATTCATTTGCCTGAGTGAGGAGAGACTAGGCACTCCCTCCCTCTTCACCCAGGGGATGGGGCAGAGGAAGCTCTGGAAGAGCCAGGAGCTGCCACTCCAGTTCACTGAGGGAAACTGAGGCACAGAAAAGCAAAGTCATTTTGCTAAGGTTATCCAGGGGTGACCAGGATTCAAACCTATCTGGCTCTGGAGGTCTCTCCACTGGGCTGAGTTTTGCATTTGTCAAAAGAAGAAACAGAGTCTCAGAGAGAGTCAGGTCTTTGCTGAAGTCACACAGCAAGTATGGGTCAGCAAAGTCTCTCTCTGGGGATGCAGCCCCACCCGTGGCAAAAAAACAGGTCCAACTTCCCATGTGTTTGTCATGGCGGAGCAGGGTACGGAAAGGCCTTCAGAAAGCTTCAAGCCTTGGTTTCCCCCTGGGGGATAAGTGAAATGATTGCTTCAGCTTGGAGAGTACGTAGGGGTGGATGTGATGGTTCCCAGGCCAGCAGCCACCAGCGGGGCAGGTCCAAGTGTGATTTATCTGCCAGGGTCTGCCTGGGTCCAACAGGGCCCGCCTCAGAATAGACAGATGCACGCTAGCTTCCAGATGGACTTGTCCGTCCTGGCAGGGTGCGAGCCTGGGAGCCTGGGAGCCTGGGGAAGTGGGGGTGACAGTAGGAGTGGGAGGGTGTGGCCCTGCGTGAAGGGACTGGAGTGAGCTCACCGGGGAACCCCCCGGAGCCACAGCTGCGTGTGTTGACTGGTGAGCACAAGTGGCAGAGCTCTGAGATGGATCTTGGGAGGACTAAACGTCTCCATGTGGGTGCCAGGAGTGCCCAGTGATCTTAGTTGGGTGCTGGCTGTCTGGAGGTGCACCCATGCCTATAAACAGGGTTGGAGGTGAACAATGTGGGGCAAATGTACCTGTTGGTGGCTGCCGGGACAGCTAAGGTGCAGTGCGTGTATTTGAGTGTAAACGGACTAGAGGTGCGGCTGTGAGTTTGGTTGTGCAACCCACATGGCTTGGGTGCGACCAAATGAGGTTGTATGTGGCCTGTGCGACATATATGTGGTCTTGCCTCATGTGGTTGCATATAAGCCCCCTGTGCTGTCTGGGATGTGATGTGGGTTAGGGGTTCGTTGGTGACATTGTGTGACACGTGTGAATGTGGCTGCTTGTGTCACGTCCGTGTGTCACCTTGGGCATGTTAAGAGGCACTTTGGAGGGCTACTGTCCACCCCTGAGACCCAGCTCTCCTGGAAGGTCCAAGCTCCCAGCTCCTGCTCTGGCCCACCAGCCCCCTCCCCTGCTTCCTCCCTCAACTCACTCCAGCCCCTGGCCTGGGCCCCAGTGTGGGGGGTACAGAGAAGGCACTCAGGGCTGGCAGGGTGGCTCACCCAATCCCAGTGCAGGCCTATAAATAGCTCTTTGAGCCCAGCAGATTCCCAGGCAAGGTTGCCTCATTCAAGCCCCCAGCAACAGCCGCCCCCCCCACCTCCCCTGGGCCCCAGGCCAGCCCCTCTAAGCTCCGTCTTGGCACTGGCCAGTGGGACCTGGGGGTGGAGAGGAAGGGGTGTAGAGAGGTGGGGGCAGTCAGGGGTGAGGGTCAGCTTGGCTCTGAGGCCATGAACCTAGGCTCCCACTTGGTCCATACTCATACTGTACAACCTCAGGCAGGTGGTCCCATGCCTCTGAGCC